GGCGGCGGCGCGGGGGCCCCGGTGGCGGTTGGCATCCCGCGGACCCCCGTGTGCCGCCCGCAGGACGGCCTGAAGCGGACGCCGCTGCACGACCTGCACCGGGCGCGCGGCGGGAGGATGGTGCCCTTCGCTGGCTGGAGCATGCCGCTGCAGTACGGGCCTGGACACTTGGAGTCCCACCTGCACACCCGCCACCACTGCTCCCTCTTCGACGTTTCCCACATGCTCCAGGTAGCTGGGCCGCTGGGCACCCTGCTGGAGCCAGCAGGGCCTCGGCACCCCGGCACCTCAACCCGTGAGAGGCGCAGCAGGCCAAGCCCCTGCACCTTCTGTGATGGACGGGTGCTGCCGCTGAGGCGTCATGTTGCTGTCTGCTTGCAGAGCAGGGTGTACGGCCGGGACCGCGTGAAGTTCATGGAGAGCCTGGTGGTTGGGGACATTGCGGAGCTGAAGCCTGACCAGGTATGGGGGCACAGAGCTCCTCATTTCCACCCGCAGCTCCCAGCCCCGCCAAAGCTCAGCGTCCTCAAGCCATGTGCTGGGGAGGATACAGGGTCACGTTCCCTACTGTGCCCACATGTCCAAAGCTCATGTACCTGGCTCTCAGCATCTTGTCACCGAGTTTGTAGCCCTAGCAGCACCCTATAGGGGATGGAGCTTTTTGGTCCTGTCCTTGAAGGATATCCCACTGCCCCCCACCCCGAACGAGCACACAGGCCAGGACTGGCAAAGTAAGGCTGGGCAAGGAGGGCGCACTGGGCAAGGAGGAAAGGATGCAGGCAGCGAAAGGGAGAAGCAGGCCTGCTGGCCCCTATGCATCCTGCCCACAGCTCCCTAGGGCAAGCATGCTCTTTCCTGCAGGGCACCTTGACACTGCTGACAAACGAGAAGGGTGGCATTGTAGATGACCTCATTGTGACAAACACATCAGAAGAGCACCTCTACGTGGTGTCCAACGCAGGCTGTGTGGACAAGGACTTGGCCATCATGAAGGTATGGGCACTGCCCTCATACCCCGACCAATGTAATGGTCCCACTGCCCACTTGCCTGGCCTAGGTTTGCCCCAGGCAGTGCTGGAGCCCAGGAGGCTACAGAAGATGGGGAAGCAGGTCCGAAATATCTTGTAGGCTACAGGAAGGAGTCTCCCCTCCCTTTAGGCAAACTAGGGCTGATGTCTGCAGATATACAGAGGTCAGGGTGGCTATGGCCAAGTGCAGGGTCTGTCTTCTGCTTGTCCCCATGTTGGCAGATGTTGTCATGTCACCGTTGCAGGGTAGAGTGAAGGAGCTGCAGGCTGCTGGCAGCGATGTGCACCTGGAAGTCTTGGACAACGCTCTGCTGGCTCTGCAAGGTAGTGGGCTCCCTACGTGGGCTGGCACCAAGGGGCATCATGAGAGAATCTCACCCTTTCCAGGGGACCAGGACCCTGCACATATGGGGAGGGTAGCTGAGCTGTGGCAGTTCCACCTCCTGGACCTTGATGCAAGAACTAAATCTTGGAGCCAGGCTGTACTCTTTTTCCAGGTCATGGCTGGATGCACGTCAGTGCTTTCCATACCTGGCCAAAGTTTCCCCCTCCCCATGCTGTGAGCCAGCCCACCCCCCTGTCCCTGGATCCTGCTTCCCCCCAAAGTCACCTGTCTCTCTCCAGGTCCCTCCATGGCACGGGTGTTGCAGGCAGGACTTTCCAACGACCTAGCCAAATTGTCCTTCATGAACAGTGCAACAATGACTGTCTTTGGTGTGCCAGGCTGCCGAGTCACACGTTGTGGCTACACCGGCGAGGATGGTGTAGAGGTACCACAAGGAGCCAGGGGCTGGGCTGCACCAGGACCATCCTGCCATAGAGCGGGGCTGGCATGGTACAAGAAGGGGAGGGGGAAGTAGCACGTGCCCATGGGATGCTGTAAGTTGCTGACCATGCCCGTGTCCCTACGCAGATCTCGGTACCCGCAGAGCGGGTGGTGGAGCTGGCTGAGCAGCTGCTCAGTGACCCCGAAGTGTGGCTGGCTGGGCTTGCGGCCAGGGATAGCCTGCGGCTGGAGGCAGGGCTCTGCCTCTACGGGAATGACATTGATGAGACAACCACACCTGTGGAGGCCAGTTTGGTGTGGACTTTGGGTAGGTTTTGGCCACGTTCTCCCTGCCTGTCCTCCTTGGGGAGCAGCTAAGCTATGGTGGGGAGCAGAGAGGCAAGGTAGGCCTGGCTCTCAAACAAGAACAACCTAAAGTGAGAGGGCTCAAGGGGACCATGAGGGGATCACCAGAGTGGGATGTTCTGGGCACAGCAAAGGGTCAGGGAATCCCTGCGTCTCCTGCCCTAACCCTTGCCTCTCTCTTCCCCTGCAGGGAAACGCCGGCGTACAGCCATGGACTTCCCTGGCGCAGCCCTGATCATGTCGCAACTCAAAGAAAAGCCGAAGCGCAAGCGCGTGGGGCTGACCTCCGTGGGGCCCCCCATCCGGCCGCATACTGCCATCCTGGGTCCTGAGGGCAGGCCTATCGGTATGTGGGGGGTGGCG